ATTCTAATTCTTTCAACCTTTGCAGGAAAGGTCCATTTAACCGAAAAGAGATGAAAAGTCTAAGACTGAAAATCTCAACTGAGAGACAACGGACATTGACTCTCAACAAAACCGACTGTTTTGAACAATTACGCAATAGTTCGGTAGTAAGGTTTTGCTCACAAAACATATATATGCAGTGTTGAAAAGACAAGGATAAAATTTTGGAAAGACCCAAAGGCAAAGAGAGTTCGTTTTTAAATACGAAACTTTATTGCGAACGACGAGGGAGTTTAAGAAAAAAAATGCAAAAACAAATGATGTCATTCCTGTATTTTTAAATCTCCGGCTTTTGTCGTCTGCAGGTTTTGTCTAGTCCCGACTTTGCTGCTTTTGATTGACGTCTGAAAATTTCAACACGATTTACACTCCATTCCACAAACGCCCGTCTTCACTCTTCCAAACCAACAGCAGGCCTGGCTGAAAAACAGTCAACGATGCCCACTATTGACATTTTCTTGCTAACAATTAAGCAAGACAAAGAGATATCCGGAACCACTATTAATAATAACAATTTCACAGTATTGGCTCTTTAGGAAGGTCTACAGCTCATTGAAATACGTCTGTATAAATTTGTTTCTCTACCATAGCGAGATTTGGAGAAAAAAGAGCGATGAGGGAGACACGCAGCAGACTGTGTGTTCAGCCGACAGAAGTTGCCAGGGTCAACATAAGGGCCAAAAATATTGACACGTTCAAGCTAAGAAAAAATAGACCACAGAATTAATAACAAAAACGGCTCACAGAATTGTCAGTTTACGTAGCAAACAAACCTCGCTTTCCACTCAAGGATAGTAGTAAATCGAAGCGATGACGAAAATGATTTCTTCCGTAAAATCACATGAATTTCACAAAACGTATGGTCATCAGTCGTTTGAACTCTACGGATATCTGTTGCCTTTTGCAGTGTTGGTGACATGAACGCCGACTGTGCTTAAAATAGCCTCCCAAATCTGCTGTAATCCGGCTACGATTCCCGCAGATAAACTCTATTTTACCCTGAATAAACTCTAGAAACCATTTCATATTTTCCTGCCCTTTAAGCAGAATTCAAATTCGCTAGGAATTCGACGCCGAACGACAAAAATATTTCAGTACGTACCGGATGACTGCACGACTAATGTCGACTTGACTTCGAATACATAACGCAAATCAATAAGGTTATGTTATCAAAATACTTTAGCCAGTAAAATGCTGTACCTTTGTCCTCAATAACGCGCTTCTTTTTCTGTATTTTGTCGGTGGAATTAGCACTTTCGAGTTCTGTTTCTTCCATTGCGCCAAGGAGACGTCGTTTGCGCGAATGACCGCGAGAAAATGAAAGTCTAAAGCCATGCCAACTGACTCCTTTGTTTTAATTGGTGTTATGACATCATCGTTGATGACTGACTGCCGCCGAATCCCCACCTCGACTGACTCAGCTCCTTATCAACAATGACTCCGATATCGGGAGCTCGCAGACGCTTTCAAACAATATTTGTGGCATTTGACAACGAATGAAAAATTTGAAAGCCATTTTTTCTACCTGGGAAACCATAATGCATTTTTGATGCGGCTGGCGGCGGGTGAAGTCTTCGGGTGACACATGTATTTTGAAGTGTCAACTTGCCAGTCACTTGTCAATCACAGCAACAAAAAGGCTCCGACAGCTGGGATCTACTGAATGTGAAACTCAATATATCCCATTTTATATTTTAAACTGTTTGTGAAATAAACGCAGTTTTTTTAAGTCGTTTTACTCAAACCTACAAGAGCTTTTAATTTGAGCATTTTAAAGAGTGTTTTATGAACATGTCAACATGCTTTCTACAAGGCGATATGCAAATACAAAGAAATGATCAATACCTCCAAGTGCTATGACAATCGCGCAGACAGAGTGTTCGAACCACTCAAATAATTAAAAAATACCTTTAATAAAACAGTCTACGAGTTTAGTCCGGCTCTTAGAAACGCACCAGTGGCTACAAAACTAGACTTATTTTACGAACAAGATGACTTTCTACTTCTCTGTGAAGCTGCTGTGCGCGACATCATTCATCCGCGACACATTTTTATTTTGTCTGCTGAGTTGTTTTGAGTCGCCTCAAGGTACCGCCGACTGTGCAAAGTGACCATTAATTATTTAAGTTAAGCTATTTATTTTTTTTGTCAAAATTAGTCTGCCGCATTATAGAAAGGGGAAATTGACGTCCCGACAATTACTCGTACGAGAGGGTGCATGTGAAGGGTGGTCATGGGTCGTTTCGCTGCAAAGTTGTTTCGCTACAAGTCGTTTAGCTTCTTCATGATGAAGTCAATTCGCTGCAAAGCATTTCTCGTTTCGAATACATATTTTCATTGCGTCCACTTCCCGTTCTATTAATTCACGCCATATCCAAGATCAAGCCCTCGATGAATCCGTGGTACCTCTGGCACTGAACGCTTGTTGTATTACTACGAGTTATAAAACCTTCGAAAATGTACTCCAGGCTTACCGCGAGCTGTATTTTAGGGGCTGGAGGAAGATCCTACAGGGCAGATCATCCTAGCGTCATATATTTTCTATATTCAGCTTAAAGGCAAAAAGTTGTACTTGTTCCTTATAGCCCTAGCGCCCCTGGGATCTTCCAAGCTGAGAGTGCAGTGAGTGAGAGCTGAGGATCCTGCACCCTGTAAAACTGCTTTCGCTAGTTAAATCCTCTTACTAGGGACAAACCAGACAAAGATGGCGGCGGGTCGTTCTGTGGCTAATCATGACAACAAAGGCCGACCATTTGATTTTCGTTTGGCGTTATCACGAGCAGATAATGATGATAACTCTGCTGAAAGGTAGTTATTAACGCCTGTAAAGAGAGCAGAAGGGTCCAAATTGCATTTTTGTGATTGTCTCCCGCCTCTTCAGTTCTAGTTACTAACCACACGGACCGAAACTTCTGCAATTTCCGCCTTGCTAATGCTAAAAACTTCTAGTCCCTCCATGTAAACAGCCCTTAACTCGTCCAGCTACTGTCATTGGGGTTACACGGCAAAAAGAATCGGATCTAACAGCTTAGGTAAGAAGGAGTACCGTTTCCCGGGACGAAATCTGATTGTTTACACAAGTGTTGTAATTAAGGAAAGGTACTTGGGAGTCCCTGGGAAACGGTTACACGACCGTTTACACTGTGTTTTTTTTTAGATCGGTACCGAAATGAGGCGTTCCGTTCCGAAAGACGTCCATGACCGCAATGGACCTTTTTGTTTCGAACGGAAGGTCGGTAAAATGTCTAAAATTGGAACTGGTCAAGAACCGTTTACACGTAAAATGTCATTGACTGTCTTTATTTTCATTGTAGTATCAGGATAAATAATTTCTTTCAATTAAAAAATGTTCCATCTATTTTTTTAGACTGTCATTTATCATATCAAAATGAAACCGAAAATAAAACATATACTTTATTTACTCGATTCAACGCCGCCCTCGAATAAAACGCCGCCTATGATTAAACGCTGCAGATGGAAGCAAAATTACCAATAAACGCTGCACACGAATACACGCCTTATCGGAAAAGCTAAAAATTTCACAAACGCCGCGACGTTTAATGGAATAAATATGGTACTCAATTGTACATTGATTAGTTCTTCAACGTTCCAAACATCACAACTGCAATACTATCTACAGTAAAAATTACTTCAGCTCTCTTACTAAGACGAGAATAAATGGGCATGAGAAATTGGAAATTGGAAATGGAAAATACGAAAGAACATTCCTGAGGCAATGTAATTATAAGATCTGACAACAGATTATTGTCCATGGTCTACCAACTTTTATTTAGCATAAAAAATGTCTAATTTCCCATGTCACCCGACGTATAGTTCTTATATAATAATTCACATTTTCCATCGCCATCCCAATTTTGTTCCCATTTTTCATTCCTCCATTCATATTCTCCATTTTAGCAGCATAGTCAGAAGTGTTTCTCGTGATGAACATAAGCAACAAAAATAAAATCCCATGCATTACACTTTTAATGCCGTCATTCAGGTACATTCAGATATCCGAATGATATCAATTGCAATCGGCTTGAACAGACTTGAAACAGACTCCCTACGTCTTGTTGCACAGTTGCCCATGAACAAATGTCAAAACCATCACCGATAACTTGTCAGCTGAGAGAATTTCTAGTCGTTTTATTTCCCGTCAACAAGTCTGGTAACAAAAAACAACAACAACAATATCACTACGAATGCATTTTCCACACGTGGTGTATTCATCGCATTTGACAATCTTAAATATGAATACTTTTACTGGAACAGCCAGGGGTTGAGGACTGGTTCCGACGTTTTGTGATCAAACCCATGACAACTAAGATGGAGGCTACAAAGCTTGTTTCAACGTGCAAATAACAGGGGCACCCAACGAGAATATAGTTCCAAACCACTTAAACATAGCATTGTTAAACGTATATTAGTATTTAAACGGTAGATATAGGCAGATTTTTATCCCCTAGAAATTTTTCGCCTGTTCGGATTTCCTAGCTGAAAGTCTAGTGATCCGAAAATTATAGGGATGAAAACTTACCTTTTCGAAAATTTCAGCCAGAAAAAAGGCTCTCGAAAATTCTAGGTGACCTTTTTAGGGTAAAAATCCGTTAAAAATGGGCAATTATACCATTTTTTAGATGTTCAAAAATCCTAGGAGAGGCAGGCAAGCAAGAAATTTTACAACAACTGTTCGGAAAATTCTAGATCCCAAATCGTCTTCCGAACAGATGTTTTCCGAAATATTGACGTTGGGTGCCTCAGAAATAATGAGTACGGAAGGAACTTTGTCCAATGTCGAGGGTCTCTTCACAAAAGAGAGTGGCCGTTACATCCGAGAGATTAAAAGAGGAGTGAATGGGACAAAAAACCCGTGGCTGCTGTAGTTGAGGTTCGATTGTATATTTGTATAAGAGAAACATTAATTTTAAAGACAGCGGAACGGTAACTAACCTGAATGATCATTGCGTGAATTCATTCACTTTGGGTCCCTTTCTTTTCTCGTATTCAAAATACTTAAACAATGTCGAGGAAACTGTAGGAGTTTGCGCTTCCTTATTGCAACTACCTGACTGTGCTTTCTTTTTTGGTCTTGACATTCCCATGGAACGACATCTGCCAAGACCGGTGCTGCGACTTCCTTCAAGAATAAACAAACGATCGTCGGCATTAAGAATCTTACGCAATCACAACGGCAATTGTAGGCGAATTTTTCTGGTGTTGTATTCTTAAGGACAGTATCCAAGTTAAGAAGAAGGAGGTGGAAATCGTCGTCTTGTGTTTACGTCCTTCATAAAGACGAGGACGACTACGACAACGAGATTTTCTCAATACTCAGTAGTGTGCACGAGTGTAACAGTGTCATTTTGGCGGGAAACACGTGACAGCCATCGTCAAATCCCGACCTCTCACGTCGCAGTCGTGCAGCGAAGACGACGGCGACGAAATGTACCAAAAAGTGTGATGCCCGCAGATTGAGATTGTTTTTTCGACTTTCTCGCTGTCTTCGCCATAGTGATTGTGTGATCTCCCTATCGGGCCAGTGGACCGGAATTCTTCTTTGTGATAATTCACGGGTCTCTAAACAAAGTAAGGAAGATTGAACTTCGGAAATTCTACGGAGAATGGGTACAAGCTTTGGGTGCAGTGATTTCTGGGATGATAAAAGCGTTAGTTATGATTGGTCGATGGTATTCAAGGCAACGATTAACCAATCATAACTAACGCTTCTCCACAAAAACCATCCCAGAAATCATTGCGCCGAAAGCTTGTACCTATTCCCCTTATAATTTCTTGAACGTACAATAGTCGTACCTGGTTTCGAATTCAGCCGAATCTGTTTCTTCATTGTCTAGAAAAAAGAGAAAAAGAAATAGAGGCAAAACCTGTGTACAAATCAAAACATTTTTTAAAGATACAAAGACACTGTACAATGGGCTTGTAAGGGAAATGTCTGCAGTGTTTGGTTTATAACCGCAGTTCGACGGTTGCTGTCTAATCGAGTTAGAATGAATGTAAGGAGGTAGATATGGATATAGCGAGGTAGATATATAAAAGATCATCATGCTTCAGTCCTGACTAGTTTGCGGAATCTGGAACTCAGAGTTCTTTTCTCCTCACACATATCATTCTATCTATTATTTATTGCTCAGAGAGTATTTATGTCACTACGTGATGCAGTTAATTCTTGTGATCAATTGACATACTGCGACTGCGCGAGGCGCTCGTTGTGTCAGCCCACAAATGACCTGCTCATCATTAAAGTTCTCGATAGCTTAGTGGTTAGAGCATCCGACTAGTGTCTGGAAGATCTTGGCTGTTTAATTCGCATCTGGAACTCAGTCAAGAATGTTTCTGAGTTCTTTTCTCCCCACATATCATTTTATTTGCTATTCAGTCATAACAGCAGTTAAAAAGGTGTGAATCTTTAGAACAAACAAAATACACAGCATACCTTGGTCCCAACGGCGCTGCCTTGGCTAAGAGGCAAACTTCTTCCCGAGGAGAGTGGAGTTAAGTGCGCGACAGCTGACGGTGTAGGGGTAGGTGTGTCCCCATCCGTACTCTGCTCTGTATCTGACAAGTATCCGCTGTCAATATCTATAATCTCAACCGGCGGTACAGGAATACCAGTTTTCTCATTCGCAATTTCTTGTAAGGGAACTGACTTGTAATCATCCAGTCTTCTTTTTTTAACAGTTGGTTTATAACCAAAAAGTTCGCCCAAGCTTTTGTTTCCAGTCTGAGTATTTAAAGAGTGGTTTCTCAAAATACTTTGTTTCTGTAGCTTTGAAGAAGTCTCTGAGATTCTCTGTGACGAGTCGCTTTCTTGACTCCCCTCGAGTTTTTTCACTGAAAGACGCTCACGGCTGGAAGACACTTCACAAGAATGAAACTCATTCTCTTTGTTTTCCTCAATATCGCCCTCATCGTTACTTCCGCTCCCCACTTCGTTACCGCAAGAATCATCCGCCGTGTTTTCTTTTAACAAAGTAAGTACAGCCCCAGGATCCCCTGCACTAACAGTGCTTGCCTCGTCCTCATCTTGACATTCCGAATTCGTCACCTCATTATCTCCGATTTGCTCCTTATGTTCAGGGCTTCCAGCGAGATTAAAATACCTTTTAAGAAACAAGTTCAACAACGAGATGAATCCAATAGAACTTGCCATACACTGCAGTGAATACTACGCGCGTTTGATTCAGATTGCTCTTTGCTTACGGACTATTTGGGTATACAGACACACGACTGACGAGATCGAGGAATTCTTTTCTTAGTTTGTTCAAAACGGCGCATACGTGTAAAAATGTTAAGAATAACTAAGATTACTCTGGATTAAACAAGTGAAAGCTTTAAAGAATGTTTATCAGATGATGATTACAAGCAAGAAAGAGGCAAAGGGTACTTTCGGTGACTTTCCCTGAACAGTCACGATCCAGTGCTGCGAGGCCAGTTTCTCCATTATTATTGAATAAAACAAATATATCCACTATGTTTCTGTTTAGATGTGGATCAGAGAAGACGAAAAACTGTGAAATGTCCTCATTTAGCGATCAGATGATGATCATACCGCACTAAGTGATACCCTTCCACGAGCGAATCTAAGAAAGGGTGGGCGGGGACCCGGGCACCCGGCACCCAGGGGCCCGGGCACCCAGGGGCACGCTCCTTACTTTTAGACCAAACTGGCCACACCTACCTGCTGAATTCTGTTTTGCCTTTTGACTCCATATCTTGACCATTGACTTTAAATGGATTCTTGAACTTTGCTCTCTTAAGGCCATGACCCAGCGTACTTGATCCCTTGCGTTCAACGTTTGATGGCGCCCGTGTTAACAATGGCCTAGGCTTAAGAGCGGTGTACATGTTGACGAGTGAATCATCGTCCACAGCGTCCTCTGCAGCTTTTCTTTTCTGGCCTGGTGGCATGAAAGGCTTCTTTGTTTTGACAGACTGTTGTGAATTAAGCAGCAGTCCGGAGAGGTTTTTCTGAACGTCGTATCCAGTTTTCCCTCTCTTGCTCATGACCGAGTGACCAAACGATGACGTGGTGACTGGGGTGAGAGAATCGGATTCAATATCTACGTCGTCACCAGATTTACCATCAGACCCAAGATCTAAGACCTGAAAAAAAAAGCAGAATCGAAAGTGTTGGATACCGTCGAAACTCCAATAAGCGACCACCCAAAATGCGAAGACTTAGTGGTCGCTAACGGTAGGTGGTCGCTTACGAGAAAAGAACCACAGGGGCCGGTCTTCAGTTTCCGAAAAGATGTCCGAACACATCTACTTTATGGAACTTTGGTTATTCAAAGTACTTGTTGCTTTTAAGTCATCTCCGCTTCGATAAGCGATTTTTTTGGTCCTGTTGAGCAACATGAACAGGGATAACGGAACTAAAATGGCTGAAGAATCAAATAAATTCCTACTATCCAAATCTCAAGCCTCAAGAGCCGATCAGTACAATCATAGAACACTAAAGAAAAAACTCGTCTTCACTGGAAAACGGGGAACAAAATCAACCAATCACAGGCAAGCAACAAAGGGTTTGCTACACTTCAAGTGAATAGCCTGCGTAGCAGGCGCTTAGTAGTAGTGGGCGCAAGAAAGCTACGCAGGTTACAAGTGAATTGAGCAGATTAGAGAGCTTTAGATTCGAAGACGAGGACCACTACGAGTACGAGATTTGAATGAAAGTTTTTTCGCGTATTCTCAAAAAACAGACACTCCGGAAAGCTTCCTTGTACTTTTGATTCACTGGAAACCTAAGTACTGTTATCTTTCTTGAAGGAGGTTAAGCCTTCTCCCGATCGTACAATGATAAAACTTATAACATTTGGTAACTTGTTTGTGCCACTACGACATTTTTGCTAAAATTCGTAGTAGAATGACGACGCCTATCACGTTTTCCCGCCAAAATGACGCTGGTTCACGCGCGAGCACAACTCAGAATTGAGAAAATCTCGTATTCGTAGTCGGTCTCGTCATTATCGAGAAGTGAATTCGATACCTTGGTTTTACACGGGCTGAAATTCGCTATCACTTCCCCTGTGATGGGGTTGATGTTACCTAGTGCAATTCCGAGCGCTTTCTCTCTAGACATCAATCTTTCATCTGTTAATGATCTAACAATTCAAACACAAAGCCTCCACAAATTTGTACACATTCACATGACTGGTACACACAATTTAGTAACTCGAGCTAAAATGACTTCGTCCCTCATCCTTATATACCGAATACACACCACAGCCCTTCTCAACACCAACACCCCCTCCCACTGAAAAATAAACAAGAAATTGGTTCTTCTCGTTCGCGACTAACAACATGCAGCTAGTGTAACAATTTTTACAGATAATGTAGTGTTTCAGTACTAAATCACGAAGGAAATCGAATCTCAGATAAAACAACAGATTGGTTTATATTTTTTTGGTTTTAAGTAATTAAAAGTATATAAATGGACGCTTCGTTTTTAGCCTTGGCTAAATCTATATATTACATAAAAGATATACGAGGATACGGTCCAGCAAACTCCAGATCACCAAGTTCTATGCCTTCTGGTAGCTCGTTCAATGAAACCAGCTTCTTGGAGATGGGATCAAAAACTAGCTGATACAGAAAAGTTTCGTCTGCTTGTTTGAAACTCTTTTCATAGTCTGCAGGGACCTGCATCTTGGCGTCTAGTCTCAGGGATCGTATCGCCTGGGAAAGATAAAATAGAATGGTTCATGACAATGAATAAGCCCTTACAAAAGCCTTAAACTCTTCTCGTCAATAGAGGACCACAGAGACCTTTAGATTCCAAGAGAAGGAGGACTACGACGACGAGGGACTTCAGGCAACGACGTTTTTGAGCGACGCAGGTAAACGGGAAGTAGCCTTTTTGTATTCTTGGGCCGTGATTCTGACCAAAGTTTTGGCTAAATCTTCTCTATGAGAGTAAAGTCACTTAGCAACACAAATTTGTCAGCATCAAGGTACATCAAAGGAGAACTGAAATGGCTAACGTCTGGTTGACGCGTGTCGCTCAAAAACGCCTTTGCTTTTAGCTCCCTCATACTAAGTAGTGCGCTCATGTGAGCCAGCGTCATTTTGGCGGGAAAACGTGGTAGCTGTGGTCATTGGACCATGAGTTTTAGCGATGTTGTAGTAGCGGAAACAAGTTATCAAATGTTGGAAGTTTTATGAGTTTGCGATAGGGAGAGGGTTTAATCTCCTTCAGTAAAAATAACCGTGCTAACGTTTCTAGTTTGCTCATGACCGAGTGACCAAACGATGACGTGGTGACTGGTGTGAGAGAATCGGATTCAATATCTACGTCATCACCAGATTTACCATCAGACCCAAGATCTAAGACCTGAAAAAAAAGCAGAATCGAAAGTGTTGCATACCGTCGAAACTCCAGTAAGCGACCACCCAAAATGCGAAGACTAAGTGGTCGCTTACGGGAGGTGGTCGTTTACGAGAAAAGAACCACAGGGGCCGGTCTTCAGTTTCCGAAGAGATGTCCGAACACATCTGCTTTATGGAACTTTGGTTATTCAAAGTACTTGTTGCTTTAAAGTCATCTCCGCTTCGATAAGCGATTTTTTGGCCCTGTTGAGCAACACGAACAGGGATAACGGAACTAAAATGGCTGAAGAATCAAATACATTCCTACTATCCAGAACTCAAGGGCCGATCAGCACGACCATAGAACACTAAAGAACAAACTCGTCTTCACTGGAAAACGGGGACCAAAATCAACCAATCACAGGCAAGCAACAAAGGGCTTGCTACACTTCAAGTGAATTGAGCAGATTAGAAAGCTTTAGATTCGAAGACGAGGACCACTACGAGTACGAGATTTGAATGAAAGTTTTTTCGCGTATTCTCAAAAAAAAGGCACCCCGGAAAGCTTCACTGTACTTACGTAAGCACTGTTATCTTTATTGAAGGAGGTTAAGCCCTATCCCGATCGTACAATGATAAAACTTCCAACATTTGGTAACTTGTTTTCGCTACTACGACATTCTCGCTAAAAATCGTAGTAGAATGGCGGCGGCTATCACGTTTTCCCGCCAAAATGACGCTGGTTCACGCGCGAGCACAACTCAGAATTGAGAAAATCTCGTACTCGTAGTCGGTCTCGTCATTATCGAGAAGTGAATTCGATACCTTGGTTTTACACGAGCTGAAATTCGCTATCACTTCCCCTGTGATGGGATTGATGTTACCCAGGGCAATTCCGAGCGCTTTCTCTCTAGACATCAATCTTTCATCTGTTAAGGATCTAACAATAATACTTTCAAACACAAAGCCTCCATAAAAAATTGTACACATTCACATGACTGGTACACACAATTTAGTAACTCCAGCTAAGATGACTTCGTCCCTCACCCTTATATACCAAATACACACCACAGCCCTTCTCAACACCAACACCCCCTCCCACTAAAAACTAAACAAGAAATTGGTTCGTCTCATTCGCGGCTTGTCGACTAACAACATGCAGCTAGTGTAACAATTTTTACAGATAATGTCGTGTTTCAGTACTAAATCACGACGGAAATCGAATCTCAGATAAAACAACAGATTGGTTTATATTTTTTGGTTTTAAGTAATTAAAAGTATATAAATGGACGCTTCGCTTTTAGCCTTAGCTAAATTTATATATTATATAAAAGATATACGAGGATACGGTCCGGCAAACTCTAGATCACCAAGTTCTATGCCTTCTGGTAGCTCGTTCAATGGAACCAGCTTCTTGGAGATGGGATCAAAAACTAGCTGATACAGAAAAGTTTCGTCTGCTTGTTTGAAACTCTTTTCATAGTCTGCAGGGACCTGCATCTTGGCGTCTAGTCTCAGGGATCGTATCGCCTGGAAAATATAAAATAGAATGGTTCATGACAATGAATAAGCCCTTACAAAAGCCTTTTACTCTTCCCGTCAATAGAGGACTATAGAGACCTTTAGGTTCTAAGAGAAGGAGGACTACGACGACGAGATTTTCTCAATAGGGACTTCAGGCAACGACGTTCTTGAGGGATACAAGTCAACCGGAAGTAGCCTTTTTGTATTCTTGGGCTGTGATCCTGACCAAAGTTTTGGCTAAATCTTCTCTAGGAGAGTAAAGTCACTTAGCAACACAAATTTGTCAGCATCAAGGTATATCAAAGGAGAACTGAAATGGCTAACGTCTGGTTGACGCGTGTCGCTCAAAAACGCCTTTGCTTTAGCTCCCTCATACTAAGTAGTGCGCTCACGTGAGCCAACGTCATTTTGGCGGGAAAACGTGGTAGCCGTGGTCATTGGACCATGGGTTTTAGCGATGTTGTAGTAGCGGAAACAAGTTATCAAATGTTGGAAGTTTTATGAGTTTGCGATAGGGAGAGGGTTTAATCTCCTTCAGTAAAAATAACCGTGCTAACGTTTCTAGTGCAAAAATCCTTAATAGCTTATCATTTGATTTGGGGACAAGAGATGACTGAATCGTACAATCAGGGAATTTAATGAATCTTGCCACTACATTTACGTTAGAGTCCAGCCAGCACTCTGGGGAAGGCTCGAGTCAAACAGGATACTGAAAGTCAACAAACACACGCTACAAGTTGCGCAACTCTTTTTAAGACTGTTGATCAGCCAAATTCTTAAGCACTTGCCTAGGAATCAGGATTCGAATCCACTTTTTATTTTCATTAAAAAAAATCGGTTTTCGTTTGATACCCAACGCCGAGCAACTAGAGCTCAATGCTTTCACAGTCGAAAAACATCACTTTCGGGACTCTCAACCGGTAAAGCATCTACCTTTTCAACGGAAGATGATTTTCTCAGAAGTTTCAAAGCCTTGTGAAGTCCAATCCCCTTGACAGAAGGCAAATAATCGCAACCCGACAATATGCACATGTGTCGGAACTTTTCTTGGGTGAACTCATGCAGCTTAAGGTCTGTCAACTTGGAAAGATCGGCTAAATCAATGGCCATACCATGGCCATAGGCATCCATCTTGAAGATTACCTGGAAAACGAGAATACATGCACATTTATTAAAGTCAACAAGGTTCCTCTAAAGTAGAAGGGCCAAATGATGATGATGATGATAATGATGATGATATTGAGTAGTTTGCAACAGAAAACATCGAAAAAGGTACACCGTGCTTCTTACCTGTGAAGGTAAGTATGGAGGGAAGAAGGGTCGAATCCTTCCATACTAACCCTCACAAGATTACAGATCAGTAAAATGAAAACATATCTTTTCTATGATTAACATGCAAGCACTTCTGTGTCTATCACATCAGCTATATGGGTATGTGAGGCTCCGAAGGGTGTGGTTTTTTACCTCATATGGTCTAACATTAGGTATGGTTTTTAGCTGTTTGGCTCTAAAATAAAGTAAGAGTCTGGGATCAGGGATGTTTTATCTATTTTTACCATTTGTCTTTGAGAAAGATGCTTCAGGTCTGAGAAAGGTTGGTAAAATCACTTATTTTTGTCCAAAATTCAGGAAGCATGCCATACATCCCTAATTTATTTACCAGGAGAACACCTCACCCTCCCCCCCCCCTTCCAATGTCAGGCAACAGATAACTACAGATTACTAAGGTTTGGGTTTATAACAATCAAGGAAGAATAGACTGCGAGCGGTCTCCCTTTTGCCCAACACCTCACTGCTTGTGGCTTTGCCACTCGCATACTCACGTACTGCACTAGCTTAAAGATTTTCGAGCAAAAGAAAGACTGATTGCAATCTTAAGCAAAAATAACTCTATAACTTGTAGGGCGTATCATAAACATAAGGTCGCCTACCTTTTGGCATCCATATACAAGTAAATCTGAGTCTTCAGATATAACAGCAGAGGTGATCCCAGTTTTCATTAGATATGCCAGCTGAGCGTCAGCCTCATAAGGTGCTACAATGCAGTCTACACCTTTCTTCCTACATTCCTAAAAAGAAAATAGAGAGTTTTATCTTCACGTATACAGAAAACGGCAAACGTCAGATTCAAGTTGAAAATTTCTCAAAATAGAAAATGAGCAGATAAAAATGGTTAAAAACAATTCTTATGGGTAAAATATTGCTTGAAACTAATAATAAAAATATTTATGTGTTAGAAATAATGAACAGTAAATGAAAAGTGAAGAGGAAACTTTTAAAACCTCTCTAATGCTAAGCCCTTGTCAGTATTGCTGGTAATTACAGCTTTATCCAGGCATGTTTCTCAGGCCATGTGGGCTTTTCAGATATCTATTCAGATACACTAGTAGCGGATACGAATTTGCCACTTTAGAATTGAGAAGGAAACTGTTCCAAGTAACTGTCGAAAAGACTTATATGACTGTCACTGGAGGCAGGGAAAAAATTGGCCAATAGCTGGTCAGCGCATCTACAATGACAATCCCAGAAGTCTTTGCAAAAGCAAACTCGGGCAAGGTTCCCTCCCACATCTAAAGTGGCAGATGGGACTAGCATTGTCAATTCTTCTTAACCCTTTAAGCCCCAATATCCACAACCAAATTCTCCACACTGATATTCATACATTTCCTTAGAGATACGTTGAGAGGGTTTAATGATAGATCAAAGAATTTTCTCTTTGGTGATCATTTGATTAATTATCGTAACAATTTCTCTTGACAATGTATGGATATTGTTAAAAGAAAATTGATGATTGTCACTATTGGGACTTACAGTGTTAAGCACTGTATCAAATGTTACAAACAAAAACAACGAACTTTGAAAAACTGTTAGGCTAACAAGTCTTCAAAAACCCACAGTTTTAATCCATTTTTTTAAAAGTTATTCAAGTTTGCACATTTATGCCTACTTTTTTGTATCTGCTGTGTTGTTAATACTTCTTTTAAAGTTTTGTAAGATTATTTTTATGTTTCACTCTGTCAAAATGGTGGCAGTTTCTATGGCCAGAATTTTTATAAAATTTGTGACACCGCTCCTTTAAGATTAGATGTCTGTGTATCACCTGTTACTGCCCCCTAGTAAAAACACTGTTAGAAGAAGAAGACCATGATTATGTGGACAGTACCAGGAATACAAAAGCAATCAAAAAGACAAATAACAGCACCAGTACCTTAATTACTTCAAGAGCCATTTCTGGACTGATATCAACACACTTCTGAAAGCATTCTAAAGCCTGTTGTCTGTTGCCAGCTCGCAAAAAGGCCAAACCTTTGGCCTTGTTTTCTTGTCTTGTCCTAGAAAATAGAAAATTAAGAGGCTGAAATTTAAGTGTGGGAATAGCAAAAAATATTCAGCTGCACCCCAGTTTTTCAATCAACACTGGGGGCCCTGTAAGGGTACATTTCTGACAAGTGACATGGCCTTGAAACAGCAACACTAGAAAGATACTACGGCAACAAACGACACAAAGATAGGTTGAAACTGGGAGAGCAACGAGTACAATAGTAAAACAAAATACATGTATATTTTCTGGATCCTTATATTTGAAATGTCACATACTTACTTTCTTCGTTGTTCCTCTTGACCTGCCTTGGAAGGTAAGTATGATCCATCAAACACTAAGATTGGCTTAACATTAAAATGTAGCAGCATGTTGATACGCTTCAAAACATAGTTGACATATCTGAAAAACAGATGGTTGGATGACAATGCAGTCACGCTAAAATCATTTCTTTAACTATTACTGTGGATTTTCAAAGAAGTCAAAGTCTTTCAGATCTGTCGTTAACCAGAACTGGAAGTTATTTGGGGGTGGGGGGGTGTTGGAGAGCCCTAAATACAGTATTCTAGGGGGGGGCAAACGATCCTAGCAACTAAATGACTGTTAATGATTTCAGATTTCCGTTATGTTTAAATGTCAGAGTTACTAAAATTAATGAGAAAAGCAGCTACATACACAAAGCTTTTCTTTCCCTCTACCAGTTCCATGGCGCATCCATAAGCTCCCTTGTGTAACCAGCAGTAGGCGTCCACTGCAATAACCTGACCGGCAAAATCTTCAGCAATCGAAACGGGTTTTTGGATTGGCTTTAGCAGAGGAAGCAAGCCTTGGATTCCCATTTCTTACTCTTGCCAATACTAACAATCTTTACCACTGCTAAGAAAGTTAAAAGGCCTATGACGATCCTCTCCAAACATCACTGAAATTGCGACGACATCTAATCACACGACGACGAAAGCGCGGAGAGTTCGGCTGCGAAATCAAATAAGCATTCACAATTTTAAAGATATTCGAATAAATTCCTTTAAAATTAATAATATGAGCAGGATCTTGATCGAAACAAACGTATTTCCAAGTTGATGGAGGGTGACAAATTCGCAAATTCGATTCAACAACAACTGCAGGCGAATTATCAACATTATCATTACTTGGGTCCAAGATCATAGTTTCCTAATTATATGACCCAGTATAACACTGCTTACCACTTCTATGCGTTCCTACATCGCTCGATCAAGCTGTCTCATCTTAATAAAGCTACATTTCGAGGGAAACAGAAAGTTTTTTCACCAAAATCAGCCCACACATCAAGCAAAAGTGAACAAAATTTCGCGCCACGCGATCGTCCCAGTCTTAACGCTGCAAGATTGAAATGTTTGGAGACTGGGGGTGATAAACTGAGGAAAAAGAAAACGTAGAAGCAAAATGGCGGCCACGTCAGTTCCTCTGTATTCTTCGTCTTCACAACCTCCTTTGGATATGGAGGTAGATCCACCGGTGGACGAGTTTTCGTTTGGTCCTCCAATGAGTCAAGATGCCTCTATGTACTCTGGATCCATTGAGGCGCAGGAAGAATTCATGGAAAGCGGTCGGAAAGACGACGCGAGTGGAGGCCCTCGGTACAGATTTCCTTTCTATTCGCAAATTTTTAACAAGAAAAACTACGACTGGCTCTTAGAGGTGGATGAAAGTAGCGACGACTTTAACAAGCCACTGCTGTAAGTACACTTTTGAACAGGAATTAACTTTTTTCTTTGAAGAAGAAAGAGCAAGGGAAAATCTCTGTGAAGCTCATACCCGAGCAATGTTTAATAAGCGTAAACATTGATTTCGGACAAATTATTCAATATGCTTTTTTCCTGCAATCATACTCAAAGAAGTACAAAACCAGCGGAATCTTACAAAACCAACTGTTCATCAGAATGAGAAATACAACTGGAGCCAATTAACAAAGTCTGTCTTTAGTTACAAGAATGTTACTCTGGAATATTGAGTAGGGTCCATTTTGAGGGATGGAACTTACAATAATAAAGAGAGTTTTTCTTGTACATAACTGCATTTTACAAATTACATCATAAAATATTTTCAGTGGAATTTCTGTGGTATACTAGGCCCCATGGATAGTGATTTATCCAGTTGATAGCGTCATCCACCTTTTCAACAACCAGGCCGCGGTTGTTCAAACATTGGATAGTGCTATCCACAGGATAAAAATCTATCCAATGGATAGTGCAATTCGTTTCCCTAATACTTATCTGCTGGATAGAGATTTATCCGGTGGATAGCGCTATCCAACATTTGAACAACCGGGGCCAGGTGTACAATAATCATTAAGGTTGGATATGTCCCTATATGCATGAGTGTGATAACAATAATAGTGTCATCAATATTCTGTCATCTTGAGAAGTAATATTGTTGGCATTACCTCATAATAATATTTACTGTGTTTTTCCAGTGAAGAACTTGACATTGATTTGCAAGATATCTACTACAAGGTGCGTTGTGTTGTGTTTCCAATTCCATCACTGGGATTCAAGAGAGATGTGCTTAGAGACAGTCCAGACTTCTGGGGCCCTTTGCTTGTTGTGGTTGTATATGCAATGCTGGCATTGTTGGGACAATTTAAGGTTAGTCAATAATTTTTTTGTCAATTTAAGCAACAAGAACATTAAAAAAGTAATGGGTTTCGAGTGGCAAGACAACAACTTTACTCATACATGAGACACATTTTTGTACATTTTTTAGCCGTCGTTGCACGACTATGACATGAAAGTGCCTACATGTAATTTAATGTTTTGTTGAGGACAGGACCACAAGACAACAACTTTGTTTTTCTTTACTTAAACTTCGATAGGGTCCTTTAGAATTCAACTCCAAAAAAATTTGCCAACATTTGATGAATTAAACGAGATGGAACAAGTGCGATAAAGTTTTAGGCAGTGCAAATTCACTTTTCAAGTGATGTTTTGGTAGCCGTAGCTGTCGTGTTTGTTAAAGCTCCCTAATAATAAGAAAAGGGGCAATATCATCATAGAGTAGTGATCAATATTATTACACTCAGTAGGTGTACATTATTTTGATTTTATTGACATAATTCTCTTGCTCTACCTTGGCTGAAAAGGCTTAGAGACGGGGTGTCAGTTAAGATAATAGCATACATGACCTTAACAAGGCTCGCAATTAGCTTATCCATTGAAGCATCAGCTGGCATGGCAACACAACAGAGCATAGAATAAATGTACTGACCACTGAGTTATTAACTTAACAGGTTGTCTCATGGATAATAACAATATGGCTGCTGGGATCCCTTATTATTTTCTTGCTGGCCAGAGTGCTGGGAGGAGAAGTGAGTTTTCAGAATTGATTAATAAATAAAAGCACTGGTGTTTCATGCCATACCAGATGTATATACTGCTATTTCGAGAAAGGTTGTCGGAAAAAATGTGCACGCAACAAATCCCAAAAGGTAATATGGGATGTGCGCAATACACTGTTCCTGACGCTGTAGCTGTCGAACCTGCTTTTGTTGCTTTCCTTTAGCACTCACAGACACATGTCCATGGCTTCTCTTGCCATTCTTTCAAATTTCTTTGAAAAACAGAGAACTCAAAACCACCCACAATACCTTTCGGGCTTGTCATGTGCACTTTATCTGACAACCTTTCTCAAATTAGCTTTATGTTGTTTGGAGAAAAGTGATGTTTACCACACTTGGTGCTTGAAGACTACCCACAATGTTATGGTACAGACCCATTCAAAATATACTTAATAGTTTTGTTACATTTCAGGTAAACTACTCTCAGTGCTTGGGAGTGATTGGCTACTCACTTATTCCGCTTGTTCTGACTGCTGCCGCTCTGCCTTTGGTCCATTATTTTCCCATGGTTAGCTTCAGTGTCAAGGTAATTAACAGAAATTTGCTCAAACAAAAACTCCTTGTTCTGTCAAGGCTGCAGCTGAACTTGTAACCAGTGGTAGTGATTTTGTTCAAATTGAAACAAAAATCAACCTTTGAAAAAAACCTAAGGCTTCCAAAAAAAAGTTTAAAAAAATCTCTGGAACAAAACTCAACCCAGCTCCAAGAATTTCCTAGTGCCTTACTTGCAGAACTATGTGGCAAGGATACGTAAGCATTACCAGAAATCTCCAGATTCTTTTGAATTCCCTCAAAACTACTTAAATCCAGCCACATGCACACACACACAAATACTTGCCAAATTTTCCTGCCCAGTCTATTAAATTCAAGAATTGAAAATTTCAAACCCAGAGAGATTCTGCGATCATCCCTGTCACTTGAAATCCAGAGTACCCCGCCACTCCTAGTTTTCTTGCTCTTCAGTTAGTGCTTTAACTCTACTTTGGACCAGCGACCACAGTGTGCTGTGTGGTTAGCTCATTTGCCTTTTTAGATAAATCCCACAGTCATGATCTCAGACAAAAATATGTTCTTTATTCATGTTGTCTCAGATGCTGGGCAAGAAATGTTTATCCCTGTTGAGGTTTAACAAAGAACCTAGAAATAGATGGTCTCATTGAGGCCCCAAAAACGACCTGTTGCTATCTTTGTTCTGGGATGCTCTCCTGTGAATGGCCTACATTGTATCTTGCGAGGCGCAATAATGACATGTTAAAATTCTGTGAGCTCTGAAGGCACAGAGCTTGGTTTCAAAGTGTTAACTTCTTTCTTCATTATACTCTCATAATGCTTTCTTAAGATATCCTGTCCCAGGGAACAATCACAATACAGTGAAACCTCTATTAAGTGGATCCCCAATTAAGTGGGACAACCTCTGTTTAGCGGACACTAAGCTGGGTCCCAAAAGGAACATCTGATATTTCCCTTTGTAACAAACCCCTATTCTGCAGACACCTCTATTAAGTGAACACGGACACTAAAATAAGTTGTATTTGGCTAATTTCTATTGTTAAAAACCTCTATTAAGCGGACACCAGACAGAATTGACAATAGTAGTGTTGGATTACGTCCTTGAAATACGTACTGAAGTCAGTTAATGTTTTTGCATTTACAAACAAATTAAAGTTGGTAATGAAAGGTAATGAACTTAAACTCTGGATAGCTTCTTTGTGATAACAATAATAGTGTCATCAATATTCTGTCATCTTGAGAAGTAATATTGTTGGCATTACCTCATAATAATATTTACTGTGTTTTTCCAGTGAAGAACTTGACATTGATTTGCAAGATATCTACTACAAGGTGCGTTGTGTTGTGTTTCCAATTCCATCACTGGGATTCAAGAGAGATGTGCTTAGAGACAGTCCAGACTTCTGGGGCCCTTTGCTTGTTGTGGTTGTATATGCAATGCTGGCATTGTTGGGACAATTTAAGGTTAGTCAATAATTTTTTTGTCAATTTAAGCAACAAGAACATTAAAAAAGTAATGGGTTTCGAGTGGCAAGACAACAACTTTACTCATACATGAGACACATTTTTGTACATTTTTTAGCCGTCGTTGCACGACTATGACATGAAAGTGCCTACATGTAATTTAATGTTTTGTTGAGGACAGGACCACGAGACAACAACTTTGTTTTTCTTTACTTAAACTTCGATAGGGTCCTTTAGAATTCAACTCCAAAAAAATTTGCCAACATTTGATGAATTAAACGAGATGGAACAAGTGCGATAAAGTTTTAGGCAGTGCAAATTCACTTTTCAAGTGATGTTTTGGTAGCCGTAGCTGTCGTGTTTGTTAAAGCTCCCTAATAATAAGAAAAGGGGCAATATCATCATAGAGTAGTGATCAATATTATTACACTCAGTAGGTGTACATTATTTTGATTTTATTGACATAATTCTCTTGCTCTACCTTGGCTGAAAAGGCTTAGAGACGGGGTGTCAGTTAAGATAATAGCATACATGACCTTAACAAGGCTCGCAATTAGCTTATCCATTGAAGCATCAGCTGGCATGGCAACACAACAGAGCATAGAATAAATGTACTGACCACTGAGTTATTAACTTAACAGGTTGTCTCATGGATAATAACAATATGGCTGCTGGGATCCCTTATTATTTTCTTGCTGGCCAGAGTGCTGGGAGGAGAAGTGAGTTTTCAGAATTGATTAATAAATAAAAGCACTGGTGTTTCATGCCATACCAGATGTATATACTGCTATTTCGAGAAAGGTTGTCGGAAAAAATGTGCAAGCAACAAATCCCAAAAGGTAATATGGGATGTGCGCAATACACTGTTCCTGACACTGTAGCTGTCGAACCTGCTTTTGTTGCTTTCCTTTAGCACTCACAGACACATGTCCATGGCCTCTCTTGCCATTCTTTCAAATTTCTTTGAAAAACAGGGAACTCAGAACCACCCACAATACCTTTCGGGCTTGTCGTGTGCACTTTATCTGACAACCTTTCTCAAATTAGCTTTATGTTGTTTGGAGAAAAGTGATGTTTACCACACATGGTGCTTGAAGACTACCCACAATGTTACAGTACAGACCCATTCAAAATAAACTTAATAATTTTGTTACATTTCAGGTAAACTACTCTCAGTGCTTGGGAGTGATTGGCTACTCACTTATTCCGCTTGTTCTGACTGCTGCTGCTCTGCCTTTGGTGCATTATTTTCCCATGGTTAGCTTCAGTGTCAAGGTAATCAACAGAAATTTGCTCAAACAAAACCTCCTTGTTCTGTCAAGGCTGCAGCTGAACTTGTAACCATTGAGTGTTCTTTTGTTCAAATTGAAACAAAAATCAACTTTGAAAAAAACCTAAGGCTTCCAAAAAATAAAAAAATCCCTGGAACAAAACTCAATCCAGCTCCAAGAATTTCCAAGTGCCTTACTTGAAGAACTATGTGGCAAGGATACATAAGCACTACCAGAAATCTCCAGATTCTTTTGAATTCCCTCAATACTTGCCAAATTTTCCTGCCCAGTCTAATAAATTCAGGAATTGAAAATTTCAAACCCAGAGAGATTCTGCAATCTCCCTGTCACTTGAAATCCAGAGTACCCTGCCGCTCCTAGTTTTCTTGCTCTTCAGTTAATGCTTTAACTCTACTTTGGACCAGCAACCACAGTGTGCTGAGTGGTTAGCTCATTTGCCTTTTTAGATAAATCTCACAGTCATGATCTCAGACAAAATTATGTTCTTTATTCATGTTGTCTCAGATGCTGGGCTAGAAATGTTTATCCCTGTTGAGGTTTAACAAAGAACCTAGAAATAGATGGTCTCATTGAGGCCCCAAAAACGACCTGTTACTATCTTTGTTCTGGGATGCTCTCCTGTGAATGGCCTACATTGTATCTTGCGAGGCGCAATAATGACATGTTAAAATTCTGTGAGCTCTGAAGACACAGAGCTTGGTTTCAAAGTGTTAACTTCTTTCTTCATTATACTCTCATAATGCTTTTTTAAGATATCCTGTCCTAATAGAGGTTTCACTGTATTGTGATCGTTCCCTTAAGCGGATCCCCAATTAAGCGGACACCCTCTATTTAGCGGACACTAAGCTGGGTCCCAAAACGAACGTCTGATATTTCCCTTTGTAACGAACCCCTATTCTGCAGACACCTCTATTAAGCGGACGCGGACACTAAAATAAGTTGTATTTGGCTAATTTCTATTGTTAAAAACCTCTATTAAGCGGACACCGGACAGAATTGACAATAGTAGTGTTGGATTACGTCCTTGAAATACGTACTGAAGTCAGTTAATGTTTTTGCATTTACAAACAAATTAAAGTTGGTAATGAAAGGTAATGAACTTAAACTCTGGATAGCTTCTTTAACAACATGCAACTTTATCACAGTTCAGAGTAACCATTGAGTGTTGATCATTAACAAACATTGTGCAATTTTTACAACCCTTATTAAGCGGACACCCTCTATTAAGCGGACACTTGGGAAGGTCCCAAAGGTGTCCTCTTAATAGAAGTTTCACTGTATTATTTGTTTTTGTTGAAAGCATCATCATGGTAACATCCATTAATTATTTTTTCCATTTCAGCTGTTTGGTGTGGTTTGGGCATCATACAGCGCAGGATCTCTCCTCATACAAGATGAACTCAAGAACAAAAGACTGTTACTCATGTACCCAATATTACTCCTCTATATCTACTTCTTTTCTCTGTATACTGGTGCATGAGATATCTAATACGTACTCACATTATATGATCCAATAGTTTACGGTTTATAAGTCAATTTGCAGTTATCTACAAAGCTGTAGACCCAGTCTTTGACAGTAGTGGGGCAGTGACTTTGTTTCCATGGAAACCTCAGTGTCATTCATGTGCATAAGAGCAGGATTTACATTTCAAATGAACTGAAGTTTCTATCAAAACAAAGTTACCTCAAACCCCGCTTTTACTCAAGATCACAACAGTTTAAGAGACAAGCAAGCTGAGCCACAGTAGAGTTAATTCAGCTACACGCTTATGGAACAAGGAAATTATACACATTTTTCATTTCTTCTCTTGCTCCACAAGCTTGAAAGTGCCATGTAGTTAACTTTTCGTGTGGTTGAGGTTGCGTGTTACGTTTGTGGGTTTTTTAACTGGTTAACCGATCCAATAGCCTGCATTGCAGCCGGACTTGTCACTCAAGGCCCAGATATAAGAGAACTTAGACTGCTAGGCTACCAATCCAAAGGTACAGTCCAATGTGTCTTGCCATTTAGTACTGGAGACTAAGGGAATTAGAAATAGATATGTGTTTTGTTTAGAGTTACTGGTAATTATTGTATATGTATTTTAAGAATAAATACAGGCATATACAGGTGTATGCCACGTGGTTTTCACCAAATTCAGTCCATCCTTAGATAAAATTGAGGCTGTTGTATTGGTGCTTCGCGCTATTCTCCCATGGCTTTGCGTCATGTCCGACCGGTTGTGAATTTAGAAACTTAACTAATGTGTGAAGAGTGTACATAAAATGGGAATAAAGTTTGGTTTTCTGGGCATTGTACGCTTGCCACGCAGGATACCTGCAAAACAGCCCCCTACTTAGTAAAGAAACTGCTTTGCGGGCTCTGAATCATGTTCTGGGAAGTACTAAATGTTAATGCACTACCGACTCAGAAGAACCACGATGATAATATAAGGCTTCAGTCGTTGCTGTGAATATTAAGTTTATATTTTTGTCTTCACGACAATTTCTAAATTTCGCTCCAGGGTCTTGTAAACAGGAGTGGTAACAGCCGACGCACTGTCTAAGCTGAGAACTTGAGGAATTCCTTCGCTTTCTCACAAGTGCAACAGAGATCCAAAAGCAAGTCAACGAGTGAGCGTTCAGTTATTCATGTTCGCGAATACTTGGAAGAAGTTTTCTTTCACGCAGGTTGAATATAAAGGGTTAAGAGTACTCAATGCGCAAAGCGCTTATATTTACTTACTGTCCTTGTTTTCGAACTAGCACGTGCGAGAACGAGATGTGTTTATCACAACCGCTTAATGAAAATCCTTCCGGTGAAAACAATTCTCTGCCAAAAATTTCCCCGAAGAACGAACAGAGGATATCCTCTCTTGGAAAAGTGATTTACGACCTATTAATCTCACGTCTTCCTGGTGCTAGTGTTTATCATGATCAAATTCTGTTATTGCCATTTGTAATGTGGTTAAAGTATTTTCATCGCTACTTTTGTTATTAATCTCTTTCCTATTCCTTGCGATTTTCGTTATTTTCTCTCCCCTCTTGTGGAAAGGTTTTCATGTCTTACAGATAATCGCCTTGATTCATCCGCTGTGAACGTGCGCGAAGCGCGTGTGTACCTCTCAAAGCTTAGTTTCCGACTGGCATAAAGGCATTTCCTTAAAACGAGTGATATGAACTTCCATTTGTCCCTCAGGCTTTCGTCATCTGCACGCTCACGGTAAATTCTGGACGCTTCTACTAACCTAATATTTTTATTATTTTTTTTATTGATTTTTTCATTTATGTTTTGACTAATAACAGGGGTCTTTCTTTTAAAAAATTAAATCCCGTTTTCGATCATTTTAAATACAGTTGTGTATATTTACTTTTAAGTAAGCTAGATTTCAGTATGTGAAAAGAAAGAGGCAACACAAGGCTTTCTTGTCTAAAAATAAATGTGAAATGCCATTCCGACACGGTAAGAACTGACAAAGCCCCACCCCCTGGCAGACCTTTCTTGCCGACAAATTGCGGGAACACACAAATTGACGTGACTCATACACAAACATCCTCAGATGGTATTTTCCATGGAAGCCAGAATGTTCCTTAGCGGAACTACTGATTCAAGCTTAGAACTATCGGCAGGAAGAGGAAGACCTAGTCTGGCATAACAGGCGCTTTATGAGCCAAGCGAGGCGAACGCTGCATTTTGCGCTTCGCACTCGTTTCGCGCTTCGCGCGAAATACCGCGTTCGCCTTGCTTGGTTCATAAAGCGCCTGTTATGGAGGCTAAGGAAGAGCTTACTCATAGCACGACTAATGTCAACTTACGATCATGCTCCTTGCTTCTCATTTGTTTACCGTAACTTGTATGCAGTTTTAAAGTGCTGCTGTTGTCTGCGTGCGCCAGGGATTGACACTTATATTAGCTTATTTTAGCTGTGCACCCAGCCGGGGCTGTGTAGTATGNACGGTAAATTCTGGACGCTTCTACTAACCTAATATTTTTATTATTTTTTTTATTGATTTTTTCATTTATGTTTTGACTAATAACAGGGGTCTTTCTTTTAAAAAATTAAATCCCGTTTTCGATCATTTTAAATACAGTTGTGTATATTTACTTTTAAGTAAGCTAGATTTCAGTATGTGAAAAGAAAGAGGCAACACAAGGCTTTCTTGTCTAAAAATAAATGTGAAATGCCATTCCGACACGGTAAGAACTGACAAAGCCCCACCCCCTGGCAGACCTTTCTTGCCGACAAATTGCGGGAACACACAAATTGACGTGACTCATACACAAACATCCTCAGATGGTATTTTCCATGGAAGCCAGAATGTTCCTTAGCGGAACTACTGATTCAAGCTTAGAACTATCGGCAGGAAGAGGAAGACCTAGTCTGGCATAACAGGCGCTTTATGAGCCAAGCGAGGCGAACGCTGCATTTTGCGCTTCGCACTCGTTTCGCGCTTCGCGCGAAATACCGCGTTCGCCTTGCTTGGTTCATAAAGCGCCTGTTATGGAGGCTAAGGAAGAGCTTACTCATAGCACGACTAATGTCAACTTACGATCATGCTCCTTGCTTCTCATTTGTTTACCGTAACTTGTATGCAGTTTTAAAGTGCTGCTGTTGTCTGCGTGCGCCAGGGATTGACACTTATATTAGCTTATTTTAGCTGTGCACCCAGCCGGGGCTGTGTAGTATGAGCGGCGTCAAAGGTTATGGACTCCCTTTTGGATACGGACATAACGGGGGGTCCCCAGGGTAACTATAAACCTCCCCCACCCCTCTTGTGAGGGAAAACGCTAAAAAATGAATCATTCAATGTCCAAGCCAAAATCCTAAATTAAAAAATCCCCTTTAAAAAATCGTAGCTATGGTAAAATGGGGAACAAAAAAGCCCAACTTGTTTTGCATTGATTGCAACATTGCGGTAAAACTAGTTTAGCAATGTTGCGTGTTTTACCACCCACCATGAATCAAACCTGTCTTGCTATACAAATCAGGTTGTTGCGGGTTGCGAAAAGTTTGTTGTAGAATGTAGAGGGTAGTTCTACTTTTTGCAACAAAATCTGTTCATGTTTCGAGTTCACCAGCCCAAGACAAACGTGTTTCGCAATAGGGAACGTAATTCTCGTGTATGGCTTGACTCCCTCGTGATTTTATCTAGTCAGAGGTCGGACTCACGCAACTTGCAAAAACCTGGTTTGTTGTAAGAGCGTCGGTGGTAAAACGTGCAACATTGCTTTTAAACTCGTTTTGCAGCAGAGTTGAAAAACAAGCTCCATTTTGTTGCCCGTTTTACCTTAGCTTTACGAGAGCCTAACATGTGCATCTTTTAGCGATTTTAGCTCAGACAGGGTAAGATTTTGAATTGTGCTACCTGAAAGTAAGGTCACTAAGGTCTTGAAATGCGTATGATCATGTTTATACCCCGGGGTTTATACATGTATGTACTAAAATCTCAAATTTTCGAGCTACTTTGGGAACCGTGGGAAAGGCAAACTTGTTCGAATTATTCGGGAAGTTTGAAAAATCGGGGGTAAAATTACAGTGATGAGGGGATCAGTTAGGTCTGGTTCGAAACATCGATTTTAAACAATCCAGGGTTCGAGAAAACGGGTCTAACGTAATTTCGCTTAATTCTTGAGGACTGCGTTTCAGATCTGAAATAGGGTAGGAAAAAATGACATATTTTGGCCTGAAGAAGGAAAAGGGTTTTAAGGAATATGGCACAAGCCCCTCCCCAAATTTTTCAGGACAAGCCCCCGGTTTTGAAGGAAAAACTGAAGGAAAAGTAACAGTGAAAACACCACTATCACAGTTTAGTATGATTTCCTTGGTTGGTTTTCAGCGAAAGAGCCAAAAAGCAAAGGGGCAGATCATATCACTTTTGGGGGAGGGCTGGATACTTTCGACAGCAAAAATATCTTACCAGCAGAATTAAGACGAAACTGATTTTTGCGTGGAGTTAATGGTCATTGTCTACACCCAAAAATTAGGGAAAAGAATTCGATCGTAGCAGTAGGTTTGGAAAGAAAATTATTGCCCAGACCAAGTCACCCATCCGGGCCGTGAGTCCCCACGTCCTCAAAAGTCAAATGATCGGCCAGTGCTAATCCGGCTTTATCGTCTTTTTAAAAATAGCTCTTCAGTCACAAAGAATCGGCAAAGGGGAGACTCGAGACTCAAGGCCTATAAATTGACAACTGAATCGAAATGAAAGGAAATAGTCAGGTTTTAGATGATAGCTAAGAAATAAATTCAGCATAAGTGTCCGATACTTTACTATACTGGAGTATATGATAACCTGTCTTGAACAAACCTGCGTGCGCGTGTTTCCCATATCCTTCGTAGCAGGCGGAAAAAGAGACGTCAGGCTAGAGACGTATGTCCTGCACACAGCCGCTGGGTACCTTTGGGCCGCGCGCGCGGCTTCCGCTAAAGATGATACACGGGACGACTCGGAACGACGATTTTTAGTGCAACACAGCGTTGCGTCTTCGCTCCAGGACATGCTACATCTGCGCGTGCTGCANTCCGGCTTTATCGTCTTTTTAAAAATAGCTCTTCAGTCACAAAGAATCGGCAAAGGGGAGACTCGAGACTCAAGGCCTATAAATTGACAACTGAATCGAAATGAAAGGAAATAGTCAGTTTTTAGATGATAGCTAAGAAATAAATTCAGCATAAGTGTCCGATACTTTACTATACTGGAGTATATGATAACCTGTCTTGAACAGATTGTTGCCTAACCTGCGTGCGCGTGTTTCCCATATCCTTCGTAGCAGGCGGAAAAAGAGACGTCAGGCTAGAGACGTATGTCCTGCACACAGCTGCTGGGTACCTTTGGGCCGCGCGCGCGGCTTCCGCTAAAGATGATACACGGGACGACTCGGAACGACGATTTTTAGTGCAACACAGCGTTGCGTCTTCGCTCCAGGACATGCTACATCTGCGCGTGCTGCATCTGTAGCACCCTGAATTTGCCATATAGCCGGAGTTACATATGCAAGCTGAGGCAGTTGCTTTTGCTTTAGCTTGCGGAAAGTGGAGAGATCAGGGGAAAAAGCACGGATAGAAAATTCCTTTTCATTACATAACTAAACTATATTGACAACACTAGATCATAGGTATGTCTATTTTAACGACTCCTCTTTTTTACGTATTACTTACGTAGTTAAGGAGCTGTGCTTGTTCTTGTCCAAAATCGACTTCGCACGGCTCCCCCCTAACTCTCATTTGATGCGCGTTAGCGAAGCCCCTCGCAGACTATAATGTGTATATTTTATTCATCTTCAGCAGGTTGCAATAAAATTTCATTTGCATTTTTATTGATCGGAACAGTTCCCAATCCAATATTTGCAGGATGTTTTGTGTTTTTTCTAGCGACGTGAATCAAACCAGTTACAGAGTTCTGTCTCCGGGTTTCAGCGAGTTTCAAGAATCGTTCTTCCGCCTTCGGGGCGTGACGGAAGTAGGAACCCGAGAAGTAATTTTCTAAGCACGTAGAACAAAGAATATATTGTGTTGCTGTATTGTTGACAGAGATAATCCATATCGAATTCATGCACAAGATGTTGCGTCAGAGAACACGCAACACTATAGGGGGAGGATGTATAAACTAATAGAGCGGATCAATTGCCGTTCAGTTGTACTCGTCCGTACCATGTAACGACGGCGCAGTAACTATGGTCGGATCCGAAGAAGCACAAATGTCCGTAAAAGAGTCATTCTATGAAGAGATAATTACAAAGGGACAGTTGTCTGCCAAGACCGATCTTAACTGTAATATTGAACTCGAAGATAGTGACGTTTATACTTCAATGTGCAGGAAACAAGTTGATTCGGCAGTACAAACCGACTGTGTTAGCGATGGAGAAAACATTTACGATAGTATACCTGGAGACTGCGTGTCGCAAAATTGCGAGCAGTGCCACATAGATCGTTCTTTTAGCTGTGGAGCTGGATACATTAGCAAAGATAGCATTACAAGGAAAGAAGAGGTACAACAGGACAGTCAGAGCGAACAGCAATCGAACTCTCCTGCAAGGCTTGCACCTCTCGAGTCGAATTCTTCACCCGATCCTGGCAGTTCAACGCAGTACGCAGAAATCATTCACTTCAACAAAGTTTCTGACTTTGTTCCATCACGACCTACTCGAGAATCGGAAAATCCTATTCTTAGACAGGATTTTTCTAGTAGTCTGTCCACCTTTCCAAACTTGCGCGATTTACGCAAGCGCCTTACAGAAATGTCTCAGGAACGCTGCTTGGAACAACAGCGAAGCGCGCGGACATCGCCATTTGCTACACCGGAATGCCCGCGAAAACCAGGAGAAAAGATTTTTGGCCAACGTCTTTCTAAAAGCCTTTCGCCGAGAAACTCGCCTAAACAATCCCCGCGCGAGAAACATCCGCCAGGACCGATTTATGTTAATATGGAATTTCCACTTGTGGAAAATGGCGACAACAATTCACGCCGTACTTCGGCCAGTTCCAGTAGCAGCATTAGCTTCAACGAGCGACAGAGTGTAAGCAGTACAGACGATTCGGTTTTTAAAGATACAGAAGTGTCCCCCTATGAAAATATCAGAGACACACTTGATTCGGGAAGTCTTAGAGAAGAAAGCGCGCCAGTCGACATAGTGTACAGCGATTTACACTTTCACGAAACTCGTCCAAAACCTAAACTAGGAAAGACCTGTTCAACACCAACTGGAAGTTGTCCTGGAAAGATAAAGGTCGAAGAAAGGTCTCGCTCGCTCCCGGGTCAACAGGTTCCTTTACGACAGAACATTTCAAGGCAGCCGAGACCAAAAAGCCTAAGCCTTGGAAAGCTGAATAAAGGGGCGCTTGGTTTTTACATCGGCGCGCGCTTTGTGAAGTGCGCAACTGTCCACAGGGCCAACTCAAATACTCTTCAGTCGACCATTCACGATATTGTCTCTAAGACAACACTAGACGATTGCGTTTCGGTAAACGTAGAGGTTACAATGGATTTAATGCGAATCAGCACAAATTGCTCCCCGTGGGATGTCATTACAAGTTTTGGCATCGAAAACATTGGCTGGATAGATCTGTACAAACAGGACACTACCGTTTTAGGTATTATTGTCTGTGTGCCCGATGTAGAGGCAGAATGTCATGTTATACAGTGTCAAGACGCACAACTAATATTCAGTGCTGTAAAGAACGCTTTCAATTCTTCAACTTCCAAGGTTAGTGCGTTTTTGCAGATTCTTTTCCCTGTTGAGCAATTCACTGAATTACTAATCCATGTGGAATTGTTCTGTTTACTCGCGGATCGAATTTAAGCCCCGCCGGCTTCCGTTTGTGTTTAAAATTACACTGGCATTGTTTCGTTGTTACAATTATAAAACAAAACAATCAAACGTCCGTAAAATATTCTATAAAGGGATCTCTACAATATTCACACAACAAACACTGGAGCTGCGATTGTCTAATTGTCCCTTTTTCAAATTCAAGTGACCTAAAACTCTTTTCGTTGAACTTAGTTATAAAGTCACTTAGGTCACGGTTACCAAACATAATCTTAAAAATACCTAAGAACGTGAATTTTTGCTGAAAAAGTAGGCAGGTATTTTGATATCAAGAACAACTAAAATTCTTACGAAATCCACTGTTTTTCATGGACGAAAGAAGCGCCAAATTTTTCCCGCGAAATAAATGACCCAAAAATGCACGTTATTGCTGGGAGTTTTGATACATGATCCTTATAACAATCTTCTTAGGTCAGAGCGAACAGATTTCCTTTGAAAATTCAGCAAAATAAAGAATAGTTCAGTGAATTTTCTGTCCATTTGGAACAAGCGGTTAATTTCACGAGTTTCTGTTGTGTTGAGCATTATTTTCTTTAAAGCTCCTCTTTTTACGTGTTTTGCGTTTTCCAACTAACTCAATCGACTTCCGTTGATTCTCTTGCCTCTTCGGATCCATTTGAGTTATTTGTAAACATGTTTATCGGCATTCACGTACAGATCCTAAAAATCTTTACCTTTTTGTGTTCTTTCACGTTCAGCACACCACAACTTGATGAAAAAGCCACTCGCAACAAAAATCACTTTTTTTAAAACTTCATCACGCTTATTTGTCAAAAGCTAACGAATTCTCGTGGAGCTGAATTCATCAGGAATGAACACGAAAAAAAATTCTTTCTTGTATGGAAAAGACTTATAGAAAACGTCGCATTAGAACCGGTGTAGTAGTTAAGGACAGCAAAGAAATGTACCAAAAATTTAAGTGTAACGTACGCGAAGAGTTGTTGTTTTCAATTGCCTGTTAGTCATCTTAACGAGAAGTGTCAAGATTGAATATTTTACGGAGCGAGGAGTGTAATATATCTCTTTTTTATTAGCAACGCTTTTTAACAGCTAACGTGGGCTGTTAAATCAGTTTTAAATCTCTATATGGTAGTTAATTTTACTGAAACCGACGAAATTTTCATTATTCTGGTTGCGAGTCGTGACAACTGGCTTTCTTACTGGATTGGTTGACTGCTCTTGTCCGTCGGCCTATCGGAAGTGTATGGAAGGGGGCGGGAGGGTGTTCGATGTTCCTAGTAGTTTTCCCGAAATCGCCAAAGCTAGCAGGAAGTGCAAAACGTTCACGATAACAAAGATACCAAGGCTTATGTTATTTTAAGGTGAAATTGGAAATCCAATGAATATCTAATGGATTTATGCTTTTGAACTGTAATATAAAAGATTTCCGTTTTTCGGCAAATCCTCCCATTTTTAAACATTCCCATTTCTGACCTTTGAAGTCCGTAAGTGGTAGGTGGAGACCCTCCACGTGCAGGTTGCGTGTTTATTTCGTAACTTTTAATCGATAACCGCTGGGATGTCACGCTATCCAGTCGAGTTGACAATTTTAGGCCTAGAAATTCACCTTTACTGCATATTTTTTACAGGCCTTCACTATTCCAGTTTCTACCACACTGGGTCCCGAAAGCTGGCTTGGCGTGCCGACCTTCAATGGTATTTCATACCTTGGTTCTTTAAAAATCAAGAAGACGTATCTCCTCATGAACGAGAGTATCAGTTTGCTTTTGGAAAAAGCGCACCCCAAAGAATTCAAAAACATTTATCTTGAAGTGCGACCTGAAGAAATCCGTCTCATCGACGCTAAGGACAATAAAATCCTCCACAAACATGCCATTCCTTGGATTCTTTTACTCGGAGTTTACGAACAGGACACTCGGTTCTTCGGGTACGTCGTGTCGGAGGCCCGACAAGGCGAAAAAACCAAGATGTTTTGTCACGTGTTCCGCTGCAGCCGAATCACGATGTCTGTGGCTGCAACCGAGGCAATCCGGGTTGGTTGCCAGGCAACTTACTCTGACCGCAGAGACTCGATGCGTTCATCCAGGCGCATTTCTTTCCGTTCAGATTGTTCCAGTGGATCCCAAGAGGGTTCGTCTTCCCCTTTTAATTCTTTGGACACTTCTGATTCCTTGGTATGTATAGTCTTTCACTCTCCTAGTACAATCAAACCCTGTTAACTGAGGGGGCCATAGAAAAAGTCTGTATTAACAGGGTGTCCGTATTAAGCGAGTCGAATTTAACAGTCGTCTTTTAGGGGAGGTCGGGTTCCCTACAAAAATCGAAGCAGCCGGAGTTTTTTTTTTTTTTCGAGCAGAGCTCCCAACACATATACTTTTTGAAGCAGAATTTACTGCATGCAATTTCTTAGGTACGATATATTAAGCTTACCTTGCGAGCAGTATTTCTCTCTTGCATGGCTTTTAGCGATTACGAAGTCGTTCGCGTCGCTTGTCAGTCGCGTAGTATAAAATAAAGCAACATAACTAAGCGGCTGACACGCGACACGAACGACTTCGTAAACGTTAAAAGCCATGCAAGCGAGAAACCTTTGCTCGCAAGGTGTGTAAAGCCCCGTGCTCTGAGTAAAAGTTCTTCGTATTCTGTGGATAGCGTGACAGACACAGCAAACATAAAGCGTTTCAGACCATGCGTCAAGTGGTCGCTTACAAGAGGTTAAAAACAATTAATTTTTTTACAAAAAATTCTCTCCGAAGTAGTCGCGGTTGCTTTCGAGAGGTGATCGTTTACGAGAGGTTTCACCTACAGTAATGTGATTAAGAAAATTTTGCTGTTGTGGATAGGTGGTCGCGTATTACTAGAGGTGGTCGCCTATGACGGTTCGACTGTATGTAAAACCTATTTTTTCACTCCCTCTCCTCCCCTCTTTTGAATTTGAAATCAGGTGCGGTTACACTAGACGTTTTCCCAAAAACTCCCCTTGGGAAAATCGTTCACACAATGACACAAAAAGTTGCTTCCCCGTGGTTAACAGCCATTTGCCTATGGGTAAAACGGTTAGTGTAACCACACGTTTTGCCATTGACTATTTGCCATCAGAATGGCGACCTATTGAGCTCCAACCAAGCCTTTCCTCACCCTTTTGATTATATTTGAGCGAGTAAACACTCAAGACACCTTTGTTACGTTGTCAGAAATAAAAAAAAACAAAAGAAAAACATGGAATTACGTGAGGGGTTGCTGACAGGTCAAGAGGGAGGAAGTCTTTGTCAAAAAATTAACATCTTTATTTTTTTTATACGGCACGTTCAAGCCAGTCAAGTGTTTTTCCTTACTAGGAAAAATAAAAAAATCGATTAATCATTTCCCAACTATAGTTCGTTTCCGATTAGAATTTAATAGCACCATTGTTTTGTACCTTTTTGTCATACTAGGTTTTCAGTGNAAGCGAGAAACCTTTGCTCGCAAGGTGTGTAAAGCCCCGTGCTCTGAGTAAAAGTTCTTCGTATTCTGTGGATAGCGTGACAGACACAGCAAACATAAAGCGTTTCAGACCATGCGTCAAGTGGTCGCTTACAAGAGGTTAAAAACAATTAATTTTTTTACAAAAAATTCTCTCCGAAGTAGTCGCGGTTGCTTTCGAGAGGTGATCGTTTACGAGAGGTTTCACCTACAGTAATGTGATTAAGAAAATTTTGCTGTTGTGGATAGGTGGTCGCGTATTACTAGAGGTGGTCGCCTATGACGGTTCGACTGTATGTAAAACCTATTTTTTCACTCTTTTTCCTCCCCTCTTTTGAATTTGAAATCAGATGCGGTTACACTAGACGTTTTCCCAAAAGCTCCCCTTGGGAAAATCGTTCACACAGTGACACAAAAAGTTGCTTCCCCGTGGTTAACAGCCATTTGCCTATGGGTAAAACGGTTAGTGTAACCACACGTTTTGCCATTGACTATTTGCCATCAGAATGGCGACCTATTGAGCTCCAACCAAGCCTTTCCTCACCCTTTTGATTATATTTGAGCGAGTAAACACTCAAGACACCTTTGTTACGTTGTCAGAAATAAAAAAAAACAAAAGAAAAACATGGAATTACGTGAGGGGTTGCTGACAGGTCAAGAGGGAGGAAGTCTTTGTCAAAAAATTAACATCTTTATTTTTTTTATACGGCACGTTCAAGCCAGTCAAGTGTTTTTCCTTACTAGGAAAAATAAAAAAATCGATTAATCATTTCCCAACTATAGTTCGTTTCCGATTAGAATTTAATAGCACCATTGTTTTGTACCTTTTTGTCATACTAGGTTTTCAGTGATTTCACTGTAGTTTAAATAAGGAAAGACAAATTATAAACTTGCAAACATACGCCAGGAGCCATCCCTCCCTTTATCAACATAAATGCTGTTAGCTCCTCTGTGATTAGGTCATGGGCGAATTATTGCAAGTTTAACGCAGTAGAAATTTCTAAATATCATTCGAAATTACAGAGTCACATTTGAATTTTGAACTGTTAATGGGATCACCTAAGGGGCATAAAACTGCAGTCGTATTATGAAGTTTTTGGCATTTATATCAACGTGGGTTTTTGCAGTTTGAGCCGAAAGAATATGGTCGTTTAAAAGGCGTGAACTTGTGTTAACGAAATGGTCGAAAAACAGAATGTTCAGAAGGCGAGGTTCCTCGGCCGGTGTTGTATTGGCTACATTAAGGATTCGCGTGAGATTGGGTCGGTATTGCGCCGAATTGTACTACGGGGCTGTTTTGGGGACTCTATCTCTTCTTCTATTGGCGATTACAAAGTTGCGCACGCGCAGAAAACTGAGTCAAAATTCTTACCGCAAAACAGTTCCATGGTGCAATTCGACACAGCACCAAACCAGTCTCCCGCAAAATTGCCAATCGTTCAGTGACTTCATCTTTGCTGCTCACACTTAGAAACACATCTTTCTACTGTTTTTAAACTGTAAAATTCATGGTCGTAAAATATTTTGTTGTTGTTGTTGTTGCAGAATAAGGAACATGAAGAAACGCACAAAGATGTAACGCAGGAGAAACCTAAGAGCAAGGAAAAAGATCCAGCAGAAAGAAAGAAACACAGCCATTCAAAACTGAGGCGATTCTCGTCAATGCCGCATCTTCTTCGAGGTACTTCCAAGAAAGACAACAGTCAAAAAGTGGAGGATATCGCTGATAAACGTCACCCAAGCAATGCCAGAACAGTGTCGGTAAGCTCGACAGGCATGGACGACGTTATCGATAGCTCTTGGGAAATCGTGGAAGAGGAGAAGGACTATAGTTGCGATGTGACGTATCTCTGTTCGACGGTCATCAACCCACCTCTTCGACCAAAACATTTGCGCGAGTGCGTGAAACAGTACCAGAAACAGCAAGCAAAATCGCTAAAAAAGTTCGGCGTGACAAAATCATCGAACGAGGTCGTTTTAAATCTGACCCTGGAGGGGGTGAAAATGACGAACGCCACGGAGAGTGGAGGACAAGGGATGTTTTTTCCCATCGATTCGGTGAGCCACGTGATGGCCCATCCTGAGAACGCCGAATACTTTGCTTTTTCTACTGTCGTAACTGGCGACTCAAAACATAAGTGCCACTTGTTTGAACAAACGAAAATTCCTCCTACAGAGCTTATAGAGAGGTTCCAAGCATTTATGTAGATTAATCACAGCATAATGTCCAGAAACGTAATCCTCGGGCGATTTTCGTATGACTTAAAAACCTAACCAAAAAAAGTGTAAGAGCCATGGGAGAGAAATTGACCTGCTTAGTTTCAAGCGGCTTCCTATTGGTTTCCATAGAAAACTGGTTCTGTTTGGTCAATCGAACAGAACTGCCCGATCTTTTTATTTGGGGTGATTTTATAGCGGAAAAACGAATTGATCTTGCTGGTCTTTTGACCTACCGGCGAATTTAGAAATTGCGTACTCATCAGTGGTTGAGATATTTTAAAAGTCATCCGAAAATCGCTCAACTATATAGGTTGACTGTACTATCTCGGCTAAGAGATGCAGTAATTAAAAATAAGCTTAGATATATACCCCTTGTTGATATCAGAAAATGTCTTTAACCTGACCTGCTCACGTACAGGGAAGCTAAGTGAGATTAACTGAGAAAATAGTTAATTTCAAAGCCCAGTCAGTTCGTTCGTTTTTGAACGTTAATCGCATCTTGGCAATAATATTGCATTCAATTTCGTACATCTTTTTCAGCGTTCATTGTGTAAATATTTTGACTTTTTTTTTTGTTTAATGTATTTTTTATTCTGTAGTTTCAAAAGATGACATGGGAAATAAACATTTCCTTAATAGAAAATTCTTTTTCTGAAGAAGAAAATACATTTTTGTAGGTTTCTTAAGAAAATTTGTATTATAATGAGGAGAAAAAGCAACAAAATATATTAAAAGAGGTGTTAGTCATCTTTACATGTACAGTTTGACAAACGATCTTTTTAATCCTGTTGTTGAAATTTTTAACTTAAAGAGAGAAGATTATTTATCATAAATTTCTTAAATTTAGCAATTAATGTGTTTTAGCAATAAGGGAATTTTCGCTTCAATCTAAATCGTGCGTCATTTGGACATTTCAGGTGTCCACCCTTACCCTCCCCCCTTGGTGGGTGCCACCTCACGCACTACCCCTAAGTGAAATCTGATCCTAGTGACAATTCTCTAAGCCATACTGCTTTAAGAGCGTTTACTTCGCTTAAATTTTGCGCTAGATGGTCCTTTTCTTTCTGTGCTCATGGTAAGCTAACTTGTAGAACGGGGCGGCTAGACCAGTTTAGTCCTAAAGAGAATTTCATTATTCATTAAGACTTTACAGCCAAATCAAAGACACCGAGCACGAAAAGGACTTTGGGCGAAAAGTCTCGAAAAACACCTTTCATTTTTGAAACGACTGGTTCGATCGGCGAGTTCTTTTGGTAAGCAGATCATAGTCCTAAGTCTTCGAGAAAAAATTCAATCATCAATCGCTCGAAATAGAAGCATTTAACCATAGACCAACAGTGTTAATAACTCGCCTCTAGGTTGTGAAGGTGTGGGGCTATGGTTTCGTAGATATGTTTAGTACAAAGACAGAATCTCATAGAATGACTTTAACATGGAAAATAAAATGCCAATTCACTACAAGAGAATGTTTGTCTTTGCATTTGTGCCATCGCATTGCTTTGTTTCTTTTTGTGGTTTTGCGTGTGAAAAACAAAGTATAACCTCGAACTTGATCCTTTGAAAGCACCCCGCAAGCTCATGGAGACAGAGATAGGATCGCTTGTATTCCAGACGTAATCTCGACCTTGGTCCCCTGCCAATAACGACGGTCTGTGAAGCAACGCCGAGATCCGTTGCTCTGGGACCCCAAGGGACTTACCAAACCCAAGGAATTACCGGAAGTGATTTTCGGATTTCGCTTCACCCTGATGGACCAATCGAACGATGGCTTTTCTTAACAGACGAATCATAGCGCGTACTCAAATCCTGGTACGCAGCTGGGGACCCAGTAAAAAGTGTTTCGGCGCTGGTGGATGTGTAAAAATAAGAAAACCTCTCCCAAGATAAAAGATTTTCCACAGTGTCTCAAATCAATTTACTAGTGGAGGAATACCGTGTAGCATGAAAATTTTGCGGGAGTTTTATTTTGCGGATTGGCGATTTTTTGTGGTTTGCGGGAACAAATTTTTGCGGTTCTAGATGACTGAAATTTCTGGTGGGAACTAATTTTTGCGATTCTCTGTTCAAGTAGCAGAATATTTAAGTGGAAGAAACCTTAATATGGTATTTTCAACTTTTATTTTACGGTATGTTGAGTCAAAGTTCACTCTACTTACATATTTAATGGAGAATAATACGGTAATTACCGTAATATCTTACTACACAAAGGGACTGAACAACAGCAAAACAAAACAAAAGCCTATCCCTACCATATACAACAAGTCCATTGAAAGCAGAGTTTTTAATTTGACTGAAGGGAGTTAATTTTTGCGGCGTTTTATTTTGCAGGTTTTTTTTTCTGCGGGAACTAATTTTTGCGGATCGAGGTCAATCCGCAAAATTCGCAAAAATTAGAACCCGCAAAATTTTCATGCTACACGGTAACCTGGGAATAGCCCCACCAAAAAGTGGGAGCTTTCAAAGACTTTATTTTGAAGCACCTTGTTCCGTTCTCCTCTTCCCGTGCAAACCGTACAAACCTTCTCTCACTGCCTTCTCAATCAAGCCTCATTTGCCATAATAGGACCTTCTTAGCCTACATGCAAGCTCTCCGTTGCGCTCTGGCGGCGCGCAGGAAAAAGGAAGAGCACCCAGAGGGTTTCCTTGCAGGCTAGGACCTTCTCTGTCATCTCCGCACAGTTTTTCTTTTCTCATGTAAATGTGTAGCAATGCATATAACAGCGTGCATTTTAATGTTTTTATTGGTGAGTTTAATTTGTACCACCGTTTATTTGTTTAATGTTTGTAACTACCATAAGTATCTGTTTTCTAAAGATTACAATAAATTTTTGCAATGCTATAGGGATCTTAAGCAAGTATGGCGAGGACGGCGGAGAAAACGTTACATAAAAGGGAATTCGCGTTGTTTCAGACTTCATCGCTCTTGTTCAAATGTTGGCGAATCTGGAGTTGAATTCTAAAGGACTTCATCTACGTTTACAAAAAGAAAAAGAAAATCGTTGTCTTATAATATTCACATTATGCAGGGGCGTAGCGTCCATGTACGCACATACGCCCGTGCGTACAGCTTAAATCAGGAGAAAAATGTTTAATATTATTTCTGGAAAGCATTCGATCGTTAAAACGGGATGACTGATAAATTTCTCACATTATATTGGTGTCTCTGTGTTAGTATTTCCTTAACCCTTTTATTAGTCCAAAAACGGACGGCAAGAAACGTTATAGCGGGGTGAAAGGCGAGAGATTGCATTTCTTGCAATTCTTCACGGCGGTTGTAACAGAAGTCTTGACTTCTTGATGGCGTCTCTGTTTTACCTTCCTCCTCCCCCGTAAATACTGTATCAGTACCAATACCACTTGAGATGGGTAAAATAAACAACTGACTACTGCATTTTCCTTCGTATTTTTTTTACTGGAAATGTCCTGCGAAGAACGCAGGAAATGGCAAGGGAGCATGCCTTCAAAATTTGCAGCGCCATCGGCGCTCTAACTTTTTTTCTAATGCGTACCGTGACTTTGAAATCTTACGTTGCGCCCTTGACCGTTCTAAACTTCTTATTTCACTGGTCCCCTTTAATCTACACTTCCATTGTTTTAAGTGATAGGGGCATTGTTATGTGAGAATCCCTATTGTTTTCCCATGCTAATCAAAAACAATCTTTCAAATAGGTGTGGGATCGCCCTTGACATCCTCCATAAAACGTGAAATTGGGAAGTTTCACGTTGAAGTCGTGCAACGGCGGCTAAGAAATGTACAAAAAAGCGTGATGCACGTGCAAAGTTGTTTTGCTAATATGAACCTTTCTCCTGTTTGCCGTTCTCGTTGTCGTTTATTAACCTTCATATTTTGTTTCAACGAGGCAGCCGAGCTACGAAGAGAGACTGACTCGGCGACAAATTCATAATGCCACGCAATATTGGAAAATTTTACAAATTCTATGTTAGCCTCTCTTATTTTCCCATATTTAACCATGGGTGTAAGTAATAACCCCATATTTGGGCAGTGACGTCACTGCCTTGCATTTACTCCTCGTGTTTCGAGGCCTGGTGATCCAGTGTGTAACTGTTCGTTGTGGGCCATGGTTTGCGTTTGTTGAGTCGCTGCTGAGGACCTAACAGGTGAGCAAGCTTACATTTACTTGTTTAAAAGGGCTATTAGTGTTCTGTTTTACGTTGTGGCCACGTCCAAAAGAATCCCGACACGCGGAAACCGCATACTTGATATTTGCGTCAACACGAATTCGGTGTCGTGTATCCAGTTTGGATTCACCCGGCAGCCATTACTAGATATTAGGCTTGCGCCAACCAAGCCAGATATTTAAACCGCGTTTTGAATATTGTTGTAGGTATATCGAGCAAAATGGCCACTCTGGAGGGCGGTTTTTAAAATATGCGGTTCCGGTGTGCGCATTCACTGCAGGGTTTCGTGTGGACGGAAGCTAGGCCTATTCGTATAAACAAGTATCCGGATTCGTGCGGTCGGGGCCTAAAGCAGTTGCTGACCAAGTAATTAATAGGGTTGTACGCTCAAATTTTTGCCAGAACCGGCGTGTTCTTTGGAGCTCGATTTACTCTAAGCCAGCCCTCAATTCTCACACATGTCCAATATACACAAACGGATACGATTCGTCAAACCGATGGTCCATTGGTGCCAATGGTACGATTGGTACCGATAGAAAATGATGCCATTCCAGTGGTTCTATTGGTGAATATGCATCTCATTAAGGGGACTTAGATTATTTTCCCATGAGACCTGGCTGGATACAGGGCAATTCCGATGGTCCATCGGTACCAATGGTACGATTTGCACCAATAGAGAAGGATGTCATTCCAATGGTTCTATGGGTGAATATGCATCTCATTAAGGGGACTTAGATTATTTTGTCATGTGATCTAGCTGGGCACAGGGCAACAACGCAAAACAATTTCGCTCTCACACGAAGTAGAACCGCGCTAATAGTTACAAAGCGAGGTCGAAATACAAACAT